GTAGCAGCTACCTTTAGGCCTCAAACTGGTCTGTTTATGAAAATGACAGAATGTCTTACAGTGTCAGAAGCCACATCAGTTAGTCTATTTGAATTTATCTAGCAATTCGACATGGTTTGTGTTTGTGTGGTGATTTAGGCATGTTCTTTACACAATGCTAAAGGATGGCTGTAAGCCTCCATTACTTGTTAGCTAAGTTAGCCTCAGTAGCAGATTCTGGACACCAAACATGTTGTAGCTAATTGATTGTGTTTGTGGTAAGGTGGAAATTGTCCAAATATCATTTTTAGTTAAACCATCATTTGAAATAAAATGCTGAGTTTCCTCAGGCTTCATTTAACGTGTGAACTGCTTTGCACTGTTGAAGTAGTTTATGCTAAAGGTTAGCATTTATGTTGCTGGGGAGAGAGCCTTTGTTCAGGATGAGCTGATGGTCAGCATCTTGACAAGGTGCATGATGGGGAGGTTGTGGAGGTCGTGAGCAGGGATGGGGCGGGGGCCGTGGGGATCAATAAGACAGGGCGGCTGTAGTAAAATGAGTCCTTAACTGGCTGAGATGAGCAAACCGCAGCATGTAATCACTCTGGACAGAGGCCAACGCCAGCCAAGCCACAGCCAGCCAGCTACCCTGCTCTCAGCTTAATTGTAGAAGAGAGAAAAAAGAGAAAGTGTTCTCATCTCTACACAGTGTCCTTAAGACAACTTCAACGGTCAACTGTGCTTTAGGAAGAGTTTGTAGAATTAACAGGTGGGTGTATGAGTGTGTGTGGTTGCATATGGCCTTGGGCTTGGCAGGGCTTCATGGCTTGATTCTCTATTTAGATTGGATGGGCAGCCGGGGCACACGGGGACAGAGACAGGAGAGGGGGAGGGAGAGAAATAAAGAGATGACATATCCCTTCTGACAGGTGGACTGGAGAGCTGGCTGTGATTCTTTACTGGTGAACGTCTGGTGTGTAAGCAAGAGAGAGAGAGAGAGGGAGAGAGAGAGAGAGAGAGAGAGAGAAAGAGAGAGAGAGAGAGATAGAGAGAGAGAGAGAGAGAGAGAGAGAGAGAGAGAGACAAAAAGTGAGGGGTAAGAGAGAAAGATTGACAGAGAAAGGGAGGGAGATACAGAGAAGTGGTAGAGTGAAGAAATACAAATGGGGGAGTGAGAAGGTAAGGGAGGAAGAAGAAAGAAAGAGGGAGAAACAAAGAAAGAAGTAGAAAGTGAGAGAAAGGTACAAGACAGATAGAAAGCAAGATGGTTTAAGAGAGTGAGAGAGAAAGAATAGCAGGGAGAGAGGAGAGAGAAAGAAAGAAACAAAGAAAATAAGGAAAAAAGAGAAGCAAAAATAGAGATACAAAAAAAGAAAAAGAAAGTGAGACAGAGAGATGGTGAGAAAGAGTGAGAGAAGCAGAGAGAGAGGAAAAGTAGGAGAGGAAAGAAAGAGAAAAAGATAGATAGGGAAAAAAGAGAAAAGAAACAGTGTGAAACAGAAAAAAAACAAAAAGAAATAAAGAGAAAGACAAAGAAAGACGCAGAAAAAGAAAGAGGAAGAGAGATAGTACAGTCTGTACTGTTGCTGTGGTAATAAACCCTTGTGTCTCTGAAATGGAAACTTAAGAAAGAAAATCTTCCTCATGTTTAATGTATGTTAAAGTAATGAGGTTTTATTCCAAGTCATTTTGGACCTTCACACTATGTGTAAAAAGGCATAAAAAAGTAAAAACTGTTTAAAAAGAAAAGTTTGAGGATTTGGTGTGAATGTTAGTGAGTGCTGTGAGAACACTGGTGCTTTTAGAAGAACACAGAAGGCTCCGAAATCTGCATGTGATGTTTCTACCACTGGTCATGAAACCAGAGCATCGTCTTTATTACTGCCAATGAACTGTGGAACTATTGACCAAAGTAATCCTAGAACCACAGAGCATTTGAAATGCACTTTCCAGATGCGAGTTAGTCTGTGTGTGTGTTAATTATTTAGCCCTTTTCACTGCTGATTCAGCGCTTTTTTGGAGCTCGTTAGCATACTCCGCAGTGTAGCGCATAATGAGCAGCCTGATAGCCCTCACACTGCTGAGGAGAGGGCACACACCTCTAACACCTCCTGCTGAGACAGAGAGAGACAGACTTCTTGTGTGTGTGTGTGTGTGTGGGTGTGTGTGTGTGTGTGAGACAGTGTTCACTGTAAAGGATGTGTTGACTTATTTTCACTTAGAAAATCACCAAAGCATGTAATTTGACCAGGGTGCCTAAACCTTTGCATACCACTATAGTGTGTCAATCCTTTGCCTTTATTACAACTTCCATTCTTTTCGAGTTTTCCACACCTCCAAAGTTCAGTCTTAGAAGTTTTTTTTGAAACTTTGAAATTTTTTGGAGCTTCAGCTTTGGGCATTTTTCCCCACTCATTTTCCTTTGTCTTCCTCTTCCTTATGCATGTACATGATATTATATCTAATCTTGTGAAAATTAATAACTTGTACTTGAAACTTTTTCTCTTTGTCCATCATGTGTTGCACAAAAAAAACAGAAATGGGAGAAAAAGCTCAAACCTTCAGCTCTTAACTAAAATCCCAAGGGCAAGTCCCAGGTGACAACAACAACTTCAGAGACAGTGATGTTTAGTACACAGAGCTTTAGGCTCTTATCTCTATAATGGGTTTATCTCACAGACACCTGACAGGCCTGCTGTTAGTGATGGGCCTGAAGGTGAGCTACAGGGCCTTGCTGTCATTCTAGCCAGAACCAGGGTCTACGACAACAACTTTTCTGCACCACTGCAAAAATAACACACCAACTAAACAGCCCTCTGACTACAGAGGTGTTCTGGGGTTCTTGACCGATGGTCCAAATAATATCTGGCCAACAGCTGTCCATTGGTCAGAAATGGAACAGTGGTACATGGGGCAGAGGGTGACGGAAAAAAACAGAACGGTAAGATAAGCTGCAAACATCTCAATCTCATGAAGCAAGTTTAATGAAACAGCCAATCAAAGTGCCAGTAAAGCATCACATCAAACAGCAGCATTTGAAAAGACTGATTTCCCTGGATCAAAAGACAAGAAAATAAAACAGAAAATGGCTTATTCAGCACTAAAAAATGGGGTCCTCTTGATTGACTTTATGTAAAGAATGTAGTTTTTCATTTTGTCAGTTACCATAACAATAACAATAATAGTTTCTCAGAGATAACATTTCTATAACCAGCTGGCTCAACTAGCCAGCTAATGCTAACAGCCTGTCAAACGGTCACCTTTGCCAGTGTTTTTTCTTCTTTGTTAACCTGCTGTTATTGTGATCTACAGAGGTAGCCCATTCATTTTCTCCTCTCTTGGTGCTGCCAATTTGACATAAAGCAGAGATTCCTTTGGGCACCAAAAATGAAAATTATTCTAGAAGTGGGGATTGAGATACTGCCCTAAAAGAACTTGCAGTGCTTCTAGAACTTGGAGATCATCAAATACAACCATAATGGTTGCTAATATTAATTGAAAGGCTTACCATACACAGCAAGTCAATTTTTGACAGATAAAAGAGAAATAAAGGTAAAGAAGAAGAACAGCAGTGACAGCTAGAATATCATACAAAGACAAAAAATGCTTCAAATTTGCAAATGTAAATAAGGTGGCAGATGGTTTTATATAGCAAGCTCGAAACTTACAATCAACTAAATTGTGTCTCAGTAAAGCATCTTGCTCAACTGTAACTTAAGCTGCAAATGTCTCAGTCTCATGATGCATGTCTCATGAAACAGCCAAAAAAACACCCCAGTAAAGCATCACATGATCACATCAAATACGATGTAGCTAAAAAAATACAAGCTGCTAATTTCCTTAATCATTAGTCAAATGTATGCAACTTTGTTTTTGAATTTTTGAATTTATGTAACATTTATTCTGCATGGAAATTAAGTTCCATGCAATTGACAACATGCAACCACCTGGAAGTTTTACTGTGTAAAGCCAGCTTTAGGATAATTCAAATGTTTTGTTGTGTAATCAAGCTAACATTAGCATGGTGGCAAATTTGCCACTGTACTTTGTTTTGATTAGCTATAACAAAATAGTGTAGCTCAGTAGCATAGCATTTTAAACCACAAGGTCAACATGATGTGGGTAATCTAAGTAAATATCATCATAAGGTTTAGGTTTAATGGATTTTTGCCAATGTTCTGTATAAACCTTCTCCAATTAAAGTAAAATATACATATCTGACTAGATGTTTGGCTCATGATACCTGAAAGTTCTCTGGACACATCACACTCAAGTCTAAGTAAAGGTAGAAGTATGCTGCTGTTTTGCCAAGTCAACTCTTAAGTCATTAAATTTGTGCTTTGGGGTTGGACTTGAGCCCACATCTCTGCATGAAAACACTCCAAAATGCCTCCCCCCATTAAACACACTATATGACTGCTCTTTGGGGAGCACTAATTCAAAAGCCTACCTGCAACCAGAGCTTTCACTCTGAGACTGAAAGAGCTGTCGCCCCCCATTTTTACGGCTTTTATTTGAGAGGTGCCCTCGAGTTGAAACCATGTCTGAATCACTTCTATCACATGGCACAGCAGCAGTGTCTGGGGAGGGTTCTTAAAATGTACAGCTCCATGGGTGTTGAAAGCACATGAACTTTTGTTTTGACTTTTAATTTTTCATCAAAAAAGCATTAAGGCGTAAGAAAACCTCTTGGCTTTGAGTTTGTTTCCCCACATGGGACAGATGAAAGGTTGTGTTGATGTTGACTTTAAAAAAGCGCTATAGAAAAAGTGCTATAAACAGTTAACAAAAGAAAGTTCGGGTTTGAACTGAGCTCACGCTGCACCACGCAGCACTCGATTAAACAGAAAGCAAGGGTTACATAAAGCATATTACAGAGCCCCACGGGGGGACGACGTGAGTCAGGGTGCTACACTTTCATCTTCTGTTTCTTTTATGATGCAGAATGGTGTTTAAGTGTGAGTTCAGCTGAGGTTGATGGGTGCTGTCTTGCTGTGCAAAGCATGTTTCTGGAGACTTACAAAAGGAGCTGTTTTCGTCCTTTGTGCCGTCCATGGTGCCATCTGGTAACATCTGGAGGTAGAATCCATGTCGGCAGTACAGACGCGTGACAATGCCTTTCAGCTGAGGCTCTGGAGGGAGGAAAAGATGGAGAGAAAAAGAGAGAGAAAATGGGAAGGGTGTATTAGCAAATACTAGTCATAGACTCACAGGTCTCCTACAAGGACCCTTTTAAAGCAAGAGTTTGGTGAAAAATATCATTTGTATGCAATTTACACACTTTATGTAAAAATTATCAACATAATTCAAGGTTCAGGATGGCTGTATTGGTACTTTTGTCCATTTTTATAGATAACAGTAGTATGCACACCTGAGTCCCTGAACCTTTTGTCTCAAAATTACACAAGCTTGATTGCTCAGTGCTGCTGTTTCTTCTCTCCAAGCATTTTGTGTCTGACACTTTCAGTTTACAGCTTCGAAATACAAAGTAACATGAGTTTAAATTTCACAACGCAGAAGATTGTAAGGCATGTCACTCTTATTTCTGTATGGCAATAAAGAGGTGTGATAAAGAAACACTTAAATTATAAAACAATGTAGTTTGATACTAAAATGAAGATGATGCACTTTGAGATTCTTATTGAAAACTGATGAAGCTTCATCATATTGTGAATTAGCCATCTATCATCACATAATATTTACAGTCATATGCAAATGTTTGAACACCCCTGGATAAATTACACCTTTTGTCGATTTTCTAGGTGACAATGAGTTAACAGATTCTCTCCAGGGAACAAACTTAAATATGGCATTTTGCCTGCAATTCTTTGTGCACCAAATCTATATATTTGCTGAGTTTGACATATTGGGAAAAGTAAAACATAAAATGTATAATGTTCCGTAACATTTGCATGGCCTCATTTGTTGTATATTGTAGTTTTCTCCCAATCAGGAGAGATGTGTTCTCTGTACAGGTACAGCTTATTTATTTATATGCACTAAGAAAATCAACAAAACATGTTGGATGACCCAGGGTGTCCAGACTTTTGCCTACAGTTTTATGCACAGGTTGGCTTTTGGGTAACACAAACAATGAAACAGTAAAACAATGGTTAAATAAAGAGTGTGGATACTATTACAAAGTCATTGTAATCGATCAACTATTATTATTTGTATTCATTAAACATAAAATAATATCTGCATAAAGACCACAATGAATAACCCTGTCCAGAATAACCTTGTGGTATGGTATTAATGGAATGGTAATGATATTTTCATAAACTGAAAAAGTTCTGATATAAAATCTGCACCAGAAGTGCACCCAGTTAACATTCAAACACCTCAGCCCATGCCAAAGTCTGTGCACACCACCAGTGTGTGTTACAGAAACCACATAACAAGTGTATTTGAGATCACATAACTACTCAACATGGTTTGAAGCAAGTGTAATGATGCAGACATGTAGTCTGAACAATGCTAATTGTTGCTTATAAGTCTCCATTATGTGTTAGCTACATTAGCCTTGTAGCTCTAATGCAAAACTAACGAAGCAGACTCCAGACACCAAACATGCCTTGGCTGATCAACTAAATTTGAGGTAGTTTGTGTAAATTTGATTTTTTTCTGAACTATTCCTTTAAAATACCTTTTTGTTCTCCTCCAGCCATGTTAATGTGTACATGGTAAAAGGTGGACATCACAGGTTGCTGGGAGACGAAAGACCGCAACACAAACACATGCACGTTTCTTGCAACTTCAATACCTCATTCCTTGCCTTAAAAATGAGGCAGACTTCAGCCCTGTCAAATAAACAAGAGTGCCACATTTACAAAAGCCAGCGGCGAGGAGAAAAGCTGTTTAGGGAGAATGTGAGAGAGTTTGTTTTTCAGGTTGAAAGCATGAGTTTTGTCTTGCTTTGCTCTTGGCAATGTCAGTCGCTAGCAGCTCACAACTGCCGAAAAGTGGCTGTTGCCCGGCTGTTCGGCAGACTTAATCATTAACTCCAGGCCTTCAGAGACAGAGAGAGAGAGAGAAAGAGAGATGGATCCAAAAACCACTAGGAACAAAACTACATTAAAGCATTAATCGGACAGATCAAATATGCATGAGCTCTGGGGCTGTTTCCAGGTGTCTGCTAATACAGGCCTGCCTTTATGTGGCCAGTAAAGGACGCGAGACAGAAGAAAATACACAGAAAACAATAGAAAGTGGCAAAAGCAGAGGAAAAAGTCCCCTTCAGGAGCTATTCTCAGGGGGTTTCATGGTTTTGGAAGCAATCCTGCTGAGGAATGTGAATTTCACTCTGCGTGGAAAATTATGTAACACAGCTCCATTTTATTTTGCTGTGATGCAATGTTAAGTTAATGTTGAAAAAGCGCTGAAAACTTTCAGCAAGCGAATTCTCTTAGGTAAGCTCGGTCTGTCTCACTGGGTTAGATCTATGAGGATCCAACATCATTCACGCTTGCAACATCAGTGTGAAGTCAATGTAGAAAGCAGAATTACTGTTGAAATGCAACTGGATATATAAAAGGGTAAATAAATAATACTTAAATAATTCAGTATGTGAACTAAATTACAACATTACAGATTGAAAGTTTTAGAGCAACATAACTTTATAGAAATAAACCTGAACATTTTTTCAATACTATCTCACAGGGTCTCTCCTCTGCAGCACGTGGGGAGATGGCACATGAACAATCTAGTTTTGTTTTGGCTCACTCTAACTCCAGTTCAACCCTGGCACCCACTCCTTATCACACTTACCTGCAGCTTCTTCTGGACTCATTATGATAAAATGGACAATAAGCGTAGAAACAAGGAGGTGGTCATAATGTTATGCCCGATCGGTATAAGGTATAATGACTATATATAATAAATTCTTTGAAATGTATTGAAAAACTGTAGCATAGAATACAAATCTTTGACTGTGACTGGGAAAACTTAGTATTTAAAAAATTGATGTTTGCAAAAAAATTTTAAAGTCAAAGTTTGTCCTCGGAATTTAGAAGAGAATATAAATCAGTGAGTGCACTTACAGTGTAAACCATTCATACCCATGGTCTGCTACATAAAGGTGGATGTTGTTCTAAAACATCATGGAGGCAGAAAGCAGTATGAGCAGATCCACACAGTGCTAGTGAGGGTTAACAGGAGCAGGAGCAGCAGAGGAGCATCTCCATCAGCTTTGCCTGTTTTTACACCAAAGTGATGGAGGCCTGGAGCTGACAAGACTCTTCTGTCAAAATATCAGTGTGTTTTTGTCTGTGAGAGTTTATCCAGGCTGTCTCTGTCACTTACTCTCTTCTCCTTTCTTACTGCATCTTCCTTCCCAGGCCAGTCTGCCTTTATTCTCCATTCTCTGATCTCTTCTTCCCCTCATGCTCATCAGTCTCTGTAGATAGGAAACCTTCTTGCTTTTTGAAATGTCTATCTTTCTATTTCAGTCATTCCTCTTCTATAAACATCAACTTTTTTATGGATTGTTTTGTAGGCTGAAATTGTGAACAGTTATTAAAGTTAGAAAGTGATGTAAGCATGGTCCAGCAGGTCCATATAATTGTTTCTCTGATGTAGAATATTTTTCTGTTGTTAAAAAATTGTATTATGTTTACTGTAAGCCATAGATCATTTAGATCTATGGCTTACCTGTCCTCACTTTTAAACAGCACTAGACAATGCAAACTAACATAACCATCTCAGATTTTACATGGAGATGAGTTTCACAATACAGAATGTCATGTGCAGTTTGGTATCAGCATCACTGATATTTTCACACTTAATTAAATTTATGGATGCATATGTGTAAAGTAATAGCATGTCTGTGTGAAGAGCTTAACCATGAAACAAATATTATAAGTGCATTGTTCTGGTTCCAAAATATGACTGGCTGAACCAAGTTCAAGTCTTGTGTAAAATGTTCAGTGGTGAACCATGACTATTAGAGATAGTCTGTCAGTTCAGACCATAAATGTAAAAACTTGGTCAGAAAATGAGAAAAAACACCTAAGGTTTATTATAGAAACTGGTGCACATGTTTTGGCAGTTCTAAACTAAACATGGACATTTGAAACTGGCAAAAGACATTACTAGTTTTATATGATGCTTGTGACAGACATTAACATGTATTTTACCTTGTATGTAGCAGTTTCACTGTAACTCAGTAAAGAGCCATGATACAGAGCTGCTGCTGCTGTTTTCCATTTTTATCCTGTTACAGCTCATATTCACAGTCAGTGATATATCTAAGATCTCCAGAAGTCCTAGAGTGATTTTTCTTATGAAATTGGTCTCACCCATTGTAAATCAGGACATAATTGGCTGATTCCTCTGTTATTTATGCATTATGTTAGGGATTAATCTAACGTGTAAGGCCTTTAGTCCAGCTCCTAAAAGCCTGACCAATAGGAGAGCTAGTTTATCTGTATGTCTCAATTCTCAGTTTTCCACTGGGCAGTTCAAGACTTTAACCAGTTTGGTGACAAACCAAAGTGTAACAATGAAATAAGATTCTATTAAATAAAAAGATTCTATTAAATAAAAAAATGAACTGAAACAATGTAGTATCTCCAAAATAATAACTTCGCAGGAGAGGGCAAAACATTCTTTACTTTCAAAGTACGTTAGTAGAAAGAGATTTTATTCTAAGCAGTTTTGGAGCATTTCGATTGGTCCATTCATCATGAAATTTTCATACAATGTAACAGACAACTGCTGAGCTCAAATGATGCAGAGAAGTAAAAATCGCATATAAATTGAGATACATGTTTTACATTGGACAGCAACGATATACAGACACAAATTCAGTTACAGAAAATCAATAGGCTTTTTCTGAGGCCCTGAAGATTCCCCTCTGAAAATACCCGATACACACATATGACCACATATATTAGTTGTAATCTGTATCAATGCGCCAAGTTATTAATAATCTGTGCAGTCTTTCACCAGCATGTTGCATGGCAACCATGGCCTACTTTTACAAACTGTATTGCTTATTTATTGAACAGTGTTGTATTTTGTCAAACTGGATTGAGTCACTTTTTTTAAAGCAATAAGACACTCGAGGCTGTGTTTTGATAGTCTGTGTTTTTCTGTATGTGTGTCAGTGTGTTGAAGACACCAGTGAGCCAAG